TTGGAAAGGCACAGCTCCCCCGAGGTTGTCTAGTGCCAGACAGTGTCACCTGTGTGGGACTCTCACACCTGGCGGGTGACCCGGCTGCGCTGTTGCTTCTCCCGGCAGGATCCAGAAGAACATGCTGCTGGACCTGAACAAGGAGATCATGAATGAGCTGGGCATCACTGTCGTGGGGGATGTCATTGCCATCCTCAAGCATGCCAAGGTGGTTTACCGGCAGGTGTGTTGCATTATGTGTGTGGTCAGGGGGGGAGCTGGTCCTGAGTTGCACTCACTTTATGTGGGCAGCGCCCACTCTGTCCTTGGTCACTGCCGCTCTGGAGAGAGGTGAGGGGGAAACGAGCAGTGCTGGGGGGGTTAGTAACTCATGGGCGAGGGGCTTCTGTTAGACCATTGATGCCTTTCCGGAACCACCTGCCTCAGTGCCTCTGGCCCAGCTGCGCAGTGAAAGGCAGGCAGTTGGGTAGCCCTGAGCCGAGTCCACTGGATGGGTGCGGCCCCAGGACTGTGCATGTTCACTGTTGGCAAGAGTCAGGCTCGTGCAGGCACTGTCTGGAGCCCCGCGCTCGGCTCAGAGACAAACGGCTGCTGTTCCCCCAGGAGGTGTGCAAGGCCGCGACGGAGACCCTGGGCTCCACCCCGCCCAGCATGCAGTCGGAGTTGCGCCGGAGCGCCAACAGCGGTAAGGGCAGGTCGTAGCATTAGCACCCCGTGACGGGCTCTGCTCTTCCCCTGTCATGACTGAGGCCCCACGTCCGCTGTGCTGGGAGCCAGGGGCTGGACCTAGCCTATAGAATGGAGCTGGGGACCCTGTGACTTTGCTCTTCAGCCCCGTGGGTGACCGTGCTGCCCAGGCTGAGCCAGGTTGGCAAGGGGGCGTTTCCCCCAGGCTGCTCTGCTGCGCAGTGGTAGGGAGCTATCCGGGGCCCTTCTGCTGGGCTCGCCTTTAACCTCACGGTCCCTGAGCTAGTGGCATATGGGGCCCAGGCAGCGATGGCGCTACCCAGTGCCAGGACCCCGTCCCCCTCCACCCCTAGCTTGGCTGCAGTCGTGCTGTGATGTGCCTGCAGTGAGCCCTGCCCCCCCTCACCTGCTGCTCTCCCTTCCCTTCCAGCTGCCACTCGAATGATTGCGAACAGCTTAAGCAGGGATTCACCGCCTTTGACCCCTGTGCGACGCCCTGACACCGCCGGCACGTCCAAGATCTCTGTGACCGTGTCCAACAAGCTGGCAGTGAAGAACAACGCCAAAGCAGGTGTGGGGAGGGCGCAGCAGGGAGCTCGGGCACATGCAGTGCATATGCTCCTCTTCATTAGGAGCTGGCTTGTAGCACTGCTGCTATGCTCCCCAGGCTTGCAGAGAGCTGCGGGTGGTTAAATCCTTTTTGAAGGCATCACCCCCCAAATCTGTGCTTTCCTGGGGTAGTTGAAAGCCTGTCAGTGCTAGCTTTCAGAGCACGGAGCAGTGCCAGCGGGAAGCTGGAGGGAGCCGCAGCTCACTTCTCTCTTTCTTTGGGCTCCCAGTCTCATGTGAAGCCGCAGCTGAGAGCCCAGCCGTCCCGGTGAAGAGGCGATGCGTCACGGCCGAGATGGAGGGGAAATATGTCATCAGCATGCCCAAGGGCACCACACCGCGGACAAAGAAGATTCTGGAGCAGCAGGCGGCCAAAGGTACCGGGCGCAGGGCCGGAGCAACCCTACGGGAACGGGCCAGAAGACTGTCCCCCCAGAGTTGCTCAGCTGGTGGACTCGTCCAGCTTGGTCCTTTCTACCCTGTGATTCACCTCCAGTGATACCAGTGCAGTGTGTAGAGCAGGCCCCAGTTCTCTCTGTGCTGTTTGGTTCTTCGAGAGCAGGGGGGTGCTTTGAGCGCTGCAGTGAAGGCAGGTTTCTCCTTCGTGCAGGAGGGTTTAGCACCATCCTTTCAGGATTTCAACACCAGACTGGGCTGGGCTGAGGGCAGCCCTTTCCAGCCCTCCTCCATGTGACATGAGACGTACCCTGGATGGGGCTGCATGGGTGCCAAATGCTGCCCACATCTGGGGAGTTGCCCCATGTGGCTTTTGTGACCCCCTCCCCCCTGTTCCCTGGTTCAAGAAAGTGCGATGACTCCGGGTCTTGCTTTCATTGTTGCCAGGGCTCCAGCGAACGTCCGTGTTTGACCGGCTGGGGGCCGAGATGAAGGCAGACACCACTACAGGAAGCAAGGTGAGGGCAGGCTTGCTAGTGACATCAGACACAGCCAAGAGCAAGCAGGGAGGCATGCTCTCCTACCTCAGGCCCTTCATTACCCTCACGTTACAGGGGAAACTGAGGCACAGCAGGGAAGGGCCAGGGGCCGGGTCCTGGATTGTCTAGTAGGAGCACAGGCACAGTTGGGTTATCAGGGGTTTAAACACCGGGTGAGCTGAGTGTGTGTCAGCTGCTCTGTGGTCAATCCGAGCGTGATTGCTCCTATACTGTGGAAGTGGGGCAAGCTCCCATGTCCACTGCGGGGCAGGGACCTGCCCCTCGGCCATCCCCTGATGCCAGCTCATTGCTGTCCTGCAGCCCACTGGGGTGTTCAGCCGGCTGGGGGACACACTGGAGGCAGACAAGACCAAGGCGGGCGAGAGCGACGATGACTGCTCCGTGCTGCAATACGCCGGTGTCCTCAAGAAGCGCGCCAAGCCCCTCCGCAAGGAGAGCACCAAGCCGGGCATCACGGTCAAAGCCAAGGCCACCAGCTCAAAGCCCAAACCGGCCGTGACCACCATCCGGCGCCTGGGAGGCAAGAGCACTGGCACCACAGCAGCCAAAGAGAGGAAGCCCGAGGTGGGCTCCAAAGGTGGCATGGCCCAGAGACTCGGGACGGCCCCACCGGCCGCGGCCCAGGACAGCAGCATCACCAGCACCCGGAGCAGGCCCGAGCCGGCGTTCCGGGTCACTATAAAGAGGACTGTGGGCAGCACCAAGGTAAGCAGCACCAGCGAGCTGCACAGTGCTCAGATGGACAGCGCAGGCACCGTGAGCGTCTTTAAGAGACTGGGCAGGAAGGCCGACTGAGCTGCCGGGCCACAGAGGCTGGTTCTGCACTGCTCCGTCTGTTGCGGGCGCCATCACCACTCCTCCCAAGAGCCTCCTCGCGAGCCCGAAACAAGGGGATTCTCGTGTGGCGCCGGAACAGAACTGCCGCGCCAGCGGTCCCCTGGCTCCCTGCAGTGCGGGGCAGAGGAGCAGAGGTGGCGTGGCGAGCTGGGCTCCGCATCCACCAAGCCGGTGCTCTCCCTGGCTGCCCTTCTGGCACCTTTCTCCTGCACTCAGGGTCACTGAAAGCTGCCTTCTATTTCTTCTCCTCTTCCCTCTTCTCTTCTCCTCTGCAGGTTGTTTCTTGTCTCTAGGACGTTGCGCCGCGAGGACTCCGTAAGGAGCCATTACAGAGCGGGGACGCGGTGCCGGCGCTCTCGAGCATGAGGGTAATCTCGGGCCGGTCCCCTGTAGCGCTAGCGTTTCTAGTCCCTGCGCGTAGGTAGCTCGGCTCCTGATAGCTGCCGCCGCTGGGTGCAAACAGCTGCCAGGAGGCGGCACGGATCCTCCACCTTCTGCGCACAGCTCTGCACTGCCTAGAGCAGGCCAGAAGGATGTGGATCCTGGACGCTTCTGTGTCCGTTCGAGCAGTGTTTTGTTTGCTGATGACAGTGGGGCCCAGTTCAGTCCTCCGGAGCCGTTTGCACGGCAGTAGCTTTCGCTTTGTTTTGAGCGCATTGTTTTCCCACCTCCCCCATGGCCAGATCTCAGGCAAACGGGAGTTCAGCCCCTGTCCATTCTCTGGGGAAAAGCATCAGCCCCCGGGACCGGGGGGGGCTAATTCTTAGTAGCACCAACATCGAAAGAGGAGGGAGGTTCAGCTGCACACCTACAGATGCAGTCTCAGCTCCTGGCTTCGGCCCCTTCCCACTCCCCTGGCCCCAGGAGGTGGCGGCACCACTCTCGCTGCAGCTGCATCGTGGGTGCCAAGTGCATGGTGCCTGGAACACCATGGCACGGTGGCGGGAGCCGGCAGAGCTGGGCCTGCCCGTTCAGTGTTCGGTGCGCCAGCTCCAACGACTCCCTGCTAGCACCAGTCCCAGGGCAGAGGGGAAGGGGATGCCGTCTGCAATGGGCACAGAGCGGTGAGTGCAGTCACTTCATTAAGAGACCTTCTTCCCTGGCAAGGGCAGAATGGAGAACAGCTGGGAGAGCAGCTGCACGGGTCCAAACCGCTCCACCCTCGGTGCCAGAGAGAACGTGGCCAGTACAATGGCTCTGGCAAGGGCAGTGGGCGCTTCTCCCCGTAGCTCAGTGCGGGGTCCAGCCCTGTCCTAGAGCCGGCGCTGGGGGTGTAATGTCCCCAGGGGTTACTGCAGCTGGGCCAGCCGTCCACCACAGCAATGTTTGCACCCGTTCTTATCGTCTCCATTTATTAAGCCAAACCCCTGAAGCCTCTTCCTCAGCCAAACTGCCAGGAGCAATCCAGACCGGTTCTTTTTCTGCTGTGGGCTTGTTCCCTCTGTTCGCGTTTGCTGACCTGTCTTTCCATGGCGGCTCCTAGGGCGAAATGCATTGGTTCTGCTCAGTTTCCTCATGCAACGCCACATCTGAGTACTGGTTTTGGGCTTTAATCCTGTGAAAACACGACGGGGAAAGGCAGGGAAGCCTTCTGGAACGATCCTCCTGGCTCGTTTCTGTGGGCTGCTAGTGTTGCACCTGGCAAGGGAAGTCTTTTTTTTTTTCCCTGAAAGCCAAGTCCGTTTTCTATTTTTTGTGAGTTTTCTTACTGCTTTTGGAGGGAGGGGCCGGTGTTGCTGGGTTTTTTAGACTGTTAAACAACCCTTTCCTACCCGAAGGAAATCTGCGCGGGCTGCCGCCTGTCACGGAGTAGGGGAAGAAGGGGGTCGTGTGATGTTCTCGTGGCACCTCCCATGTTTGTTAACAACGCCACGTGCTCTTTGCAATAAAGCGTGGAAATGACCGTTCTCTCTTGCCCCTCCTGGCTCCCGTGTCTCGCCGCCCAGGATGCGCCGGGGAGCTCCAGAGACGTAGGTGGTGCAGGGAGGCTGCAAGCTCAGAAGGGCTTTCCCCAAGTGGGTGTTGGACCCGTTTCAGGCCCGCTGAGACTCGGGGAGCAGCAAACCTAGACCCAGTCTGGAACGCCAGACTCCTGCTCTAACTTCTAGACGGAGCCGCCTCTCCCACCCTGCTACGGATTAGGCCTTTAACCCCTTGCGCAGCAGGCCAGGCACTTTTGCCTTCCCTTGAAGGGTTGCAGGCTCCTGGCTGCTCTGAGTTTACGGCCGGGACCTGGCTGCCGGCCGGCGCGTGCTCCGGCAGAGGAAAGCCCCAGGTTTGGTTTTTAATCCCTTCCCCTCTGCCCTGGGGCCGGTGCTAGCAGGGAGTCGTTGGAGCTGGGGCACCAGGTCGCCAGCGCGGCCTGTGCGCTTCTCCGTGGCTGCAGAACCATCGTCACGGCTGTGTATCTGGCGTGCTTTGCGGACGGCCCCTTTTGTCAACAGAGGGAGGCCCTGGCACACCTCTGCCTCCAGGGCGCCGGGTTGCAGCCCCTCTGCCGCCTCCTCCAGAACCTCATGGCTGCCCTTTTTCCTGCACCTTCCCATCTGTAGCCCCCCCAGATCCCCCTGGCCAACCTTCTGGCTCTGGCCAAGCTGGCCATCTACCGGACCAGGGAGGAGGCTGTGGTCGGAGGGAGCAGGGCAAGCGTGGGGCGGTCTTCCTTGCTCCTCCATTCGCGTCTCCAGGCCGAGCATCACTGGCCAGCGTCCACAGGCTCCCTCGATGCGTTCAGCGGGCTGCGGCCCGTGTGTCCCCTTCTAGATCCCTTGTTCTTAACCTTTGACCTGGCTCCCTGCCCGATTCCTTTTCAGTTGCCCCAGGGAATCAGCTGGTGTCCCCAGGGGACTCCCTTGGTGAAGGAGGCTCCTAGGTTTTTTGCGATGGGCCAATGACTCGGGCACATCAAATAGAAACACCCGCTCAAAGACGGCTATGCTCACAGACCATGCCTATATGCAAATCTATCTATCTATCTATCTGTATAGAGATCTATGTAGCGTGTATTTGTGTGTGTGTCTATATATATGAGAGATATGTATGGGTATAGATCTAGTGTGTGTATAGACACATACGTGCGTGTATATACACGTGTATATACTGTATTTTATGGTGTATAGGTCGACCCCCAACTTTCCGATTTGCTTCACAACCGGATTGATACACCACGAAATACGGTACACGTGTGTACATGCATAATACCTATGTGTATATGTGTACACGTGCGTGCGTGCAGCGCTACACAAATGTATGCAAACACATGCAAATCGATTCAGGCTGCCGGGGGCTGTCCATTTGCAGACGTGGGAGCAGCAGGCAGCCGGCGCGCATGCGCCCTGAGGGGGGGCGGTTTCCCCGGCGCAAGCGCACAACACTCTCGAGGGGCCCAGGTGGCTTTGCGCACGCGCAGTGTGCCCCTCCCCGCTGCGCCTGCGCAGTGAGGGGCAGCTGCGTGTGTGGAGGGGGGGTGGCTCTCTTCGCCTCCCTCCTTCCCCGCTTCCTGCGTGCGTGGGCCCGCAGAGGCGGGGTTTCCGGGAGCGCGGGGCGCCGGG